GTGCAAGAAAAAAAAAAAAAAAGACCACCTACTGTGATGGGCGGAGCTACATCAGCTAAGAGTTTATGCTGTTTTACAGCGAGCCGTGAACGACGAGCGCCCAGAGTCAGTGGGCAAAGTGAAATCCGTCAGTTATAGAAACATTATTGTACACACCTGCAGCAGCCGCACGCGTCCTACAAGCTAAGTGGGTAATAAAAAGTATACACAACAGATAAAAACATAAAGGTGTCCATACAGAGAAAAGGTACGACACAAACCGTGTAAACTCTACAGCAGCAGCAGGAAGGGGAGCACGTCTTTATAAAAAACCATGTTTAAGATCCGACGTCAGCTTTGGAGCCAACCAGGACAGCTGTTTTTATGACGGAGACGACAGATGTGAACCAAATCACAGCAACATGCTCAGAAACAGCAGTGTGGTGTCTTCATTCACACTCGTTTCCTGGATGCTGAATTTGGGAAAACAAACACTGAAGATGTTTGATGTGAAACAAAATGATTGTGGGACACAAACAGCAACAAGAGACAAGTGATGAACCCAAAGTCTGTTTCCCCGCTGCATCTCTCAGTGTTGGTTTGCAGATAGACGACGTCGAGAATGCGGCTCCTGAAGTCCCGCCCCTTCATCAACCCCCGCAGAGCTGCTCGCCCCCCTCTTCGTCAGATAACGGAGGTCGCAGAGGGTCCGACGGGGTTCAGGGAAGGGAGTACTTACTCAGAAAACCTTGTGTTGTCTCTGTGGGGGTCTCAGGATCGAGTCCTCTCTACACCTCTGGGTGAAGCAGATTTTATTTATTCAAAAACGATTTTGTGAAAGTGGAACGATGAGCGATGGACGACTGGAGCTGGTCTGAAGGGCGCCGTCTGGATTTTTGTCCTGTTTTAAGGCATTTCACCAAAGAGAGACGGGTCTGCACTGGGCAGAGGGTTTCTGGGGGGGTTGGTGGTTCTCAGCAAGTCTTTTTTAAACAGGGCTTCTGGTCTTAGGAGGTCTTGACCAGGTCGTAGACGTAGATGTGGAAGTCGTCGTCGAATTTGATGAAGTAGACGGAGGGTTTGGCCTCCACCTGGTGGATCACCATTCCCGACCTCTTCCCGCCGTCCTCTTTGGCATACTCGACCTGTTTGCCCACCAGACTGTCGACCACCTCGCCGGGCTCTCGCTCCGCCGTCACGCTGTCGTCTGCAGACACGAACACAGAGAAAAGGTCAACTTTATTTATCGTCTTTGCAGAATTTGATCACGGGCCGAT